TGTTCTCATCAACAAGTCTGACTTGTCTTAATTTATTCTATTTTAGGTTGCCGAATGACGCGTATGGCTCCAGAAATTATTGAATTACTTGCTTTGAGCTAAGATCCTGGCATGGGCTTCAATTTAGTAGCACCATCGACTCGTGGAATTTCACTCGCTTTAAGCAAACATATCCTGTCTAAGACTACTTTGCCATTACTCGCAACTCATCGTTCGCCAATATTTGAAGCTACAACAATCTCCTCAGCTGCTACCGACATCTCTCGAATTTATCTTTTAAAACTCGATTTTCATAATGAAGAATCAATTCGAAATGCAGCAGCAAAAGCACATGATATCCTTCTTGATAATCACAAAATCGAAAATATGATCATTTCGCCTGGAATTCTCTATCCTGAACGTAAACTTGAAGATTTAGATTATGGTCAAGTATTAGAAACATTTAAAACAAATATTATTGGACCAATGTTTATGTTAAAACATTTTACTCCGCTTCTCTCACCGACGTCTAAAACAATGATATTCGCTGCTAGAGTTGGAAGTGTTTCAGATAATCGGCTTGGTGGATGGTTTTCTTATCGAACGTCTAAAGCTGCCGTATTTCAACTAGTAAAAACGTTTAATGTGTACCTCAGGCAAAAGAAACTTGGATTCTGCATTGGATATCATCCTGGAACGGTTAAGACAGATCTTAGCAAAGACTTTTGGAATAGTAGCAAAGGGATCATGAAAGATGTCGACGAAGCTGCCGCATGTGCATGGGAAGTGCTCAATGGTCGAACAGAGCGAGAGCACAGCGGTAGAGTTTTTGATTGGAAAGGCGAAGAGATTCTTCCGTAATATCACTTATCTCAGATCATCGTCATGTCATTATGTCTTCACATCTGGCAACTCGTTTTAATAAGAGTTGCCGTTCGTTATAACTGTACAAACGAATTCTAAATTAACTTGTACACGTTAAGTAATAAATTCAAAGATACACTTTGTGAATTTAAGTATACTTTGTGTTCCTTATTAATCTGGTAAGTTTATTAATTTATAACACTGATGACAAACTTGAATACGATCGAAAATGACTGCTCTATGCTTAAGATCATAGTCCACCACAGATTCTTAGGGTGGTAATTTTTCCCTCTATGTTCTGGAGTTTATCGAGTTGCATATACCCTGGCATTTGTTGACTGTCCATTTTCTCCTCAGTTAGGAGATTTGGGGGCCTTTTTATTTTTCTTCTCGGTTTGGTGGATAAACAAAAAGTGTCTTTGAAGAGTTGCCAAATTTGTAAAATGTTAAGCATGCTGTAATGGAAGTTCTGCTACCGAAAATGTTGACCACATTTGGAACTGTGCCAAGACGCCGTTTTTCGCTCTTTCAACTTCAACCTCTTTTTAAAAATTAATTAAGTAGCGAATCTCAAAATCAAAAATTTTCTGAATTTGATTTATTTAGATTTTCACCAAATTTCCAATTTTCGCCTAATATTGAAATATTTAATATAATCATTTAATAAATCATAA